CTGAGTTTTTTACAGATGCCTCTAAGTCCAACTCCTCTGTGTCCTACGCTGCTGTCGGCCCATCCTTTTCGGATGCTGGCCCTCTACATCCAAGCACAAGTATCTTCACAGCAGAAGCTTACGCGATACTTGTGGCAGCTAAACACATCAAACAACTACAAATACAAAGAGCAGTAATTTATACAGACTCCCTCAGTGTTGTAACGGCTCTGCGCAGTCTTAAAAAACAAAAAAACCCTGTCCTCGTCTCACTTTACTCTATTTTATGCACACTCTACACACTCAACCAACGTGTTGTAGTGTGGTGGGTGCCAGGGCACCGCGAGATTCAAGGCAACGTGATGGCGGATCAGCTTGCTGCATCCGCCCACGAAAGCACCGCCATTACACCCACATCAATCCTGGCCCTTGATCTTAAGCCGTCTCTCGAACGAAAACTCAGGGACTACTGGCAGAGCAAGTGGGATACACACACACAAAACAAACTACACGTTATCAAGCCACACCTTGGTCATTGGCTGCCGGTATCAAAATCGCGCCATACAGAGGTTATACTAACGAGACTCAGGATAGGACACATATACACGACACACACATATCTTTTGTCTGGTGGTGACCCACCATTGTGTGACAGATGCAGTGAACCATTGACCGTCCTTCACGTGTTAATCCAGTGTAAACACTTAGAAACTATAAGAAAACGGCATTTTCCATTACCCTACCGACAACATATACCTTTACACCCTGCATTGTTCGTTGGTAGGGAACCGCTTTTTAGTCATAAATCATTGTTAGCGTTTTTAAAAGAAATTCGTAATTTTCATATCATATACCCGGGCATCCCGTAGCTCGACCTCTCCAGGGAGGTTTTTGCTGCGGTGGCTACACAGGAAAGAACTTGCCTCACGGCCCTTGCACGCAAGGGTATGAACCAGTGAGGCACTTGTGCTAATGCCATACATATACACCATCGTTTTTTATTATCACCAACTTTTGTTATCTATTCACGCCACACACACCTTTCACGGCATGGTCATGATTTTATTACTTGTATGTTTTTACCCGCCTTACCGCGAGGAATTTTATGGCCCTTATACAGCCGCTAATCACAATCATTGTCCACATTCCTTGTCGCATGAACTGGCGCTCTTTGGCCATCAAATGGCCCTTGCGCCAAAAAACACCATATCATCATCATCATCATCATTACATTTACTTATGTTTAATTCTATGTGCCAAGTACAGCACCACTCATGCACAGTGATCAAATCATTTTGAAATATGGTGAAGTCAGTGGTGTTAGTTACATTACGTTAGATCATGCAATCATCTGCAAACAAAGAAATATATAAGAGAATGTGAGTAGGCATGTAATTGATGTAGACCACGAATAATAAAGGTCCCACTAAGGACTTCTGTGGCACTCTAGACAAGACATGTTTCGCAGGTGAAACTGTGTCATTTGCAGGAATGAACTGGACGCAATTAGTCAGTAAGGCTTCAATCCATTTAATTATAGCATGGTCAGTGTTAAGTACTTCTAGTTTATGTAAGAGTTAGCAGCAGTTTACTTCGTCAAAAATAAACCACTCCTTTTGTTAACCAGTATTTCCTATAATCTTCAGGACTATAACATCTAAACTAGAATATGCTTCATCGATTTCATCGACAACACAATAACTTGCTTGCTTGAAGCCATTCAGCACTTGTTTGTGCCTTTTATTGTATGCAGTTATTCCCGCAGTGCAAGCATATTCATTATCCAAACTAACCTTGATCTGTTGGAACTGTTATCAAGAAGAAAGCAGTTACCTCTTTAAAAAAACTATTTTGCTAACCCAGAACCATCATGTTGAATCGATCACAATACTAAGGTCAAGACAAATCTTGTCTTCCACTTGTTCCTGTGTCAGCATCATGGTGTAAGAATAAATTAGGTGATGTCACCGCGCCCGACGGTGCGTCTAGTCTTTGTTCGCTGCATGGACATTTTCCGTTAATTGCGACAGATGGCACTTCTGGAGAGTGGGCCAAGGCGCTCACTGGTGAGCGACCCGATCCGGGTGTAGAAGGTTATTGCTGCGAAACCTCGCTGGTTTATTTCGCTCGATATACAGATGTACATGGAAGCCAATAAATTTATACATAGTGACTGCTTTAACGAAATTGATTTCCTAATTTAATATGCAGGTTATTTGCTAACAGCGTTTTTGTGATATAAGTGCACCGACAGCAGCTAATGTTGGCTTGCAGAAAGAGGTTGCATTTTGAGGCGAGAGCACTAAACATCTTGTTTCGTATAAACTACGTTGTCGGCAGTGTCGGCATCTTTGGTTCAGAACAAAAAAAGCGACATTGTTTGTGAGAGATAATTTGAGGTGTTTGCAATAACAATAGCAGCCAGAGGGCAAAGGTGCGCTAGCTATTAGAAAGGCGATAGTAGTGTGTGTATGCGTGTGTGCGTATGCGCGCGCGCGCGCGCGCGCGTGTGTGTGTGTGTGTGTGTGTGTGTGTGTGTGTGTGTGTGTGTGTGTGTGAGAGAGAGATAGAGAGAGAGAGAGAGAGAGAAAGAGAGAGATATCACTGCGGATATCACTGTTGAATTCTGTTGTTCAGCAGAATGAACGAAAAACTTCATCAGAAAACTTGATGTATCAGGTAACTTGCACGTATTCTGTTAAAAACCTATATTGGCGCACTACCCTTAGCAGTCTTACTGTTAGCTTCACACATTTCGGCCTCTGGGGATATAAGCAGTATAATATGGGTGGGAAAATTTCATTGGGTCCCGAAAGTTGACCCTGATTTAACTCATACCATACCCATGTTGGGACTGTTGGGCCACTGCCATCATACTTTGCGCTATTTTATTTGGCCGTGCGGAGTTGAACTCTATGAAGTGCTTATGAGAAAGTGGAAGAGAGCACACTACCTAAAGCAGTATATCTTGTGCAGCTCGACTCTTACGCCACAGACATGAGATGCAGACAATCATAATCCGCGTTTGATGAGGCATCTAAGGATATCTAAGGCTTTCAAATTAATAATTAAAAGGTGTTGTGTCATAAGCACCGTGGTCGGAAGTGCATCGGCAATGTTGCAAGATGGTGACGATGAAGCGCCGCTAGAGACGTCCAAAAAACGAGAAAATCTGGCTTGACCACATAAAGCATGGAATAACATTTATAATCATGGCAGCTGCATTACAGAATCAGTATGTACATTGATTTCTGTTCACTGGTTACTCTATATTTACTTTTTCTTGGTCCAAATAGGTATACATGAGGCAGCTCAAAAATCTGGCATCTCAATTTAAAACAAAAAATTACTTTTCCCGCATGATGAAGGATTCCCGCAGGATGTGTTGAGAAGCATCCTCTTCTTTACGTGTAGGAGGCCCGTCGCTGCAGAAGTTAAAGCGCTACCTTTTGTATGCGTGCCTGCTGATTAATCACCATCATGCTCAGGAAAAACTGTGTCTACGCGCAATAAATTTTCTGTTGTTTCGGCGGTCGTGTCAGGCACTTCAGATGCAGTTGAACCTTTTGGCTCTCGCCGCTCCCAAGATGTCAGCAGTAGAGCCAGCCGTTTTTGCTGAGCTTTCCTGTTTTGCTTTTTTTTCTGCACGGTCAGGTATTTTAGACAGGTTTTTTTCGTTTCTTTGGTGCTTGCAACAGGACGTTTCACTTGTATTCTGCATGATATGTGATAGAGATCGCTTTTTCGGGGAAATGCTTCACGCACATATGGTCAATAGGCTGCAAGGCTTCATCAGCTTTCGGAATTGCCTGTCGCCACTTATCCAAGCGCTGTGGTCCATGTGGAGTTTTGTAAAGTGACACACGCTTCGTACAAATCCAATACCCCGACTTGCAATTTGGGACAAAACACCACTTGCCCATTTCGAGGCGCAGCCAGGAACAAGGCCGCTGACGCGTATTCGAAGTCATATGCAGTGCCGAGGTCTACGTGCACTGAATCGTGAAGCGCGAATCACCTGAACTAATGCACTGGCAGGGCTCACAGACACAGGGCAACACGTTCTTAAATCACAAAATTCCATGCTCACAAAGCTTTCAGGAAGATGCTCTTTGGCGGGTAGATTTCAGAATGAGCGCTGCGCGAATACTTGGCACGCCATACAGTAGTGCCATGTCAACTCGCGCGATCGCAACCACTCGTAGCTCAAGTTCATTGGCGAACACAATCTGGCCGCACCTTTTCCTCACGCGGAGCGGTGACTCTCAGCACCTAACTTATTCTTACACCGTAGTCAGCATCCATGTGGAAGCACCTCCCTTGCCTCGGCCTAATATTGTCTAACCTAAGTGTAACCACCTCTCTGTTTAATTCCAGCAGACATCAGGAGTAATTCAAGTAAACAAATAAATGCTACCTAAAGGCACAAGTTGTAAAGCCTGTGACCGTTAATACTATTGTTATGCAGTAAAACGAAAATTGTTTGAGGATGCCCTTTTTCATATCACAAGAATGAGCTCCTCACCATTTCTTGATTGAGAAAAGCAGCTTGAACTTGGCAGTGTGGTTAATGTGCGCATACATTACTGGAGTCACTAGAAAAGAGTGCAAGTTTATTTTGTACAGACTAGTCAACCCTTCAGAAATGCAGGCTGTAAAGGGTCGAGCTGTGTGAGACACGTTTGTGTCATTTGCAGGGAGAAAGCATATTTCACTTCGAAAAAGGCCCGTCTAGCATATACTTTCGTTGCGTAGGGCCATTTCAGCTACTTCTGTCAGTTGCTCCTTTGCCGTGGACAATGCTAGACTTGTAGGACATTAAACAGTGTGTGTAAGAGTGTGCTCAGTGAATGCATTCTCATGGACAGTATAAAAAAGTCATAATTACCCCATATGAGTGAAGCTTGGTTGTTTCCAACAGTGCCTTTAGTAGTTGTTCTTGGCATTCCTTGTGACAACAGTCAAGAAGATGTGCGCTGGAAGAGGGCAGTTGGAGGCTTACCGTGTGTGTGTTTGTGTAGGCTACCCGCTGGCACTGATACACCGGAATTTCCTGCTGGGCAAGAGTCCCAATGCACAGCACTTCTACTTTGCTGCGTGTGGCCTGGTGCTCTGCTGCTTCAACTATGGTGAGTGTGGTAGGCATAAAGGAGTGCGTACATTCTGCAATGTCTGTACAGTGACAATAACCATCGAGCCTCTAGTACCCTAGTTACACGTACACACTATCCTCAGTTGCGACGAACCTCAGTTAAAACTGCACTCAACCACAGCGTGAACTGCAGTTGCCACATGTCATACACACAAAGTTGTCCTTAGTTTGCGTCTGCGAAGCAGGTCACACGACTCTCAGTTTTGTAATTAAAAATGCAATCTTTTAGCCAGTTTTCATGACTACACTGGTAAATACAATGTGGCATTCAATTGGGCTTGTTGGCCATTCATGATGGGAAAATAACAGCGCAAAAGATGATGGCCTCACACACATACACAATGAGCACTGATTTCCAATTGGTTTATTTCTGAAGAGAGAAAGAATTTATAGTGCTGACACGTCACAAAAACGTATTCACTTCATGTGCAGAAACTCCTTTTTCTCACGAAGAAGTGCTATCGAGGAAGGGCAAACTCGAAGAGAGGAGGGAGCGGCCGAGGGGGGTCGGCATAATAATAATGAAAAAAAAAAGCCCCTATCTTCCCGAAGGGAATTGTGAGGAAATGCGAATGCATTGAGTAGCATCCATAACGGCGTTTCCCACCAGAAAACCCAACGTTAGAAAAATAATTTTTTTTCCTACATTGTCCAGCCAATAGTGCCGTTCGCTGCATGAGGCGTTTTTCTCTCGCAAGAAACGCGGTATTCGTTTCCTGCTCTAGTAGCTAGCGTGTACGCTTAAAAAATACTATGAAGTGAATTAAACAAGCAGCGTTCTCAGCTCGGCATTGGCATTTTACATCGGCGTCTCGAGCACACATTTCTGTTTGTTCTTGAGAGGCCAGCGAACGGTCGAGAGTGAGGCGCAAGCGGACCGGAGAGTGGAGTGCAGGGAGAAAAGAGAGCGAACGGCGAGAAAAGGAGTGGCGAAGCACTGCACCTACCTTCTCTTGCACTCTCTCGCACCACATGCTCCGTTCGCTAGGGGCGAGGATAAGCGCACCTGTAGCTGCTGCTATGAGAGAGGGAGTAAGAGCGGATAACACCTGCCGGGACGTGGTGTGATGTAGTAGCTTAAAAAAATGCAAGCATAGCAGACGACAGCGCCACATCACCTGGAAGATGAGAAGAATGAAGGGGCATTGCAGCGCGCCCATCGAAAAAGGAAGAGGAGATGCTCGCGGAGAATGAAGCTGTTCGGATGCCGGCAAGACCACGCAAGGGAGCCTAGGGCGAACCCGCAACTACGCGCGAGGTTCGAAAGGCCGGGTTCCTGTCTTCGAGCCATTGACGTCCTCGGGGTACGGCGTGTCGGCTTGGCCAAGCACGAGTTCTGGGTGAGTGGTCCTGCGGACATCTCCGGTACGGCGAGCACCTTCGAAAGACCGGAGCGGCTGATCACGTCCACCGAGCCGACGTCGCTTACAGTTTTCGGCTACGCCTAGACCTGGTGCTGCCCTCTACAGCGGTATGCTGACCTGATCACCCAAGTGACGGCTGCATCCGAGCACGCAACGGGTCTCACTTCAAGGCCTGTGAGACTGTTTACTCTTTTCTTTTGTGTGTGAACCGCATTCATGTACGACTTCCAGTACTGTATGTGCAATAGTTTTTTTTTGTCCAATATAACTTCCTTTTGTTTTCCTCACTGCCTCCATCTTCCTCGCGTCACACGCCTTGCTACGTGACGAACCTAACCACGACATATCTGGCATCCGCGAGACAGGACTACTCTTGTTACATCTAAGGAGAGCATCACATTGCGTATGTGTGTGTGACGGTCGATGATGGAAGCAGATAAGCTGACGGCAATCGGAAAGGAATTGGGGTCAAGTAGGTCAGCACTAAAAGAATGGATGGACCAAGAACGCGCACGCGGAAAAGAGGCACGTTACGCTCGTCTGGCTGAACGAAATGCCGCGAAAGAAGCCGAGGCAGAGGCAGTCGCTAGATTACAATCAGAGAAGGAAGTTCTTGAGCTCAAGTTAAGGTTGCATCAGTTATATGCGACAGCAGGTAGCACAACTACTGGGCAGCTTACCGAGGGTGCGCCCATAGGCACCACGCAGGGCTACCGAAGTCCACATAAACTCATCCCAGCCTTTAACGAGGAACGGTATGAGCTGGACGCATATATACAGCGATTTGAGCGCGTCGCTACTAGTCAAGACTGGCCGCAAGACAAATGGGCCCTATCACTAAGCCTTTGCTTGACCGGAGAGGCCTTGAGTGTAGTTGGTAGGATGGCACCAGAACATGCCACGCACTACATAACGTTGAAGAAAACACTACCACAACGCTTTAGGTTCGCAGTTTGCCGGGCGTCTATTAGGTTATTTTGACCATTGGCAAGAAATGGCCAAGACAGACCGGACCTACGATGCTCTGCGAGACAAAATTGTCTCGGAGCAGTTTCTCGCTCAATGCCATGAAAAACTCGCTGTGTTTCTTAAAGAAAGAAACTGTGAAAGCCTTGAAAAACTTGCGAAGGCTACAGACCACTATTTGGAGGCCCAGGGGATGATTAACCTTGGCAAATGTAAAGGCGATATCCTGAGCAAGCCTCCAGGTCAAACTCGAACGTCTGAGCGGCAAGATGACAAAGAGAGACCACAGTGTTTCCTTTGCAACAAAAAGGGTCACAGAGCTGCTGAGAAGCGTTGAGAAGGCCTCATGCTCTTTTCAACAAAGAGATGGAGCCAAGATAATTAATTCAGAGTTGCAGGCTTCCCTTTGTGATCCTTATAGTCTGGAGTGCGCGGAAACGCACCCAGCCAAGCTGAAGGAAAAATAAATGCCTACGGGCGAAGGTGTACTCGAAGGATATCCCGCAAGAGTATTGCGAGATACCAGATGCGATTCAATCATTGTCAAAAGGTCTCTTGTGGCAGATTTCAAGCTGACTGGAAGGATTTCCTCGATTTACCTCTTGGATGGACGATTGATGAAGCTGCCTGAAGCACACGTGGAAATTTTTTCACCTTTCTTCACTGGCAAAACTCGAGCCCTTTGTATGGATACTCCTTTATATGATGTTGTCTTAGGAAATGTGGAAGGCGTTCAAGATGCTCACAACCCTGATAACAATTGGAAGAGCCGTCTTTACACCCGGAACACTGCAGAAGAGTATTCTGGCGCAGAAAAATCTGGTTCTGCACACAGACCCTTGTTTGCAAAGACTTCGATGTCGGCTGCAAGGAAAACACGTTTCAAGACAAAAGATGCTGCAGTAAACCGACAGGCAGGAAATCCACATCTACTTCCGGCTCCAGTTATTAACACCTTGGACGTCAGGCCACAGGACTTTAGAACCAAACAGGAGGAAGACAGCAGCCTGTGGAAATGCTTCGAAGCCGTTAACAAAGAGGTCAAGATAAGGTTTGCTAAAATATTGTTCTTTATGAAGGACGGAATCCTCTATCACAAGTACACCCTTCACTCTAAGAGGGAGGTGAATTAGCTGGTGGTACCAAGGTGCCTCCGACATTTTGTTATGAAAATGGCCCACGAAGGCATTCTTTCGGGCCATCAGGGAAATAAACGAACTACAGACCGGGTACTTGAAGACTTCTACTGGCCAGGGGCTCAGTCAGACATCACACGATTTGTTTAATCGTGTGATATATGTCAAAGAACTATTCCCAAGCACTTGGTGGGTTGTGTACCTCTCGGCAACACTTCTATAATTGACACCCCGTTCAAGAGAGAAGCCATTGATATTGTGGGTCCATTATCACCGATGTCAGAGGGCGGAAACAAGTACGTACTGACAATGGTGGACATGGCAACGCGTTATCCCGATGCTGTAGCACTGCCGAGCATCGAGACGGAGAAAGTCGCTGAGGCACTTCTGGAGATGTTTTCTCGTGTAGGTGTCCCACGGGAGGTAATCAGTGACAGAGACACGTCATTCTCGTCACACCTAATGAAGGAGCTAAGCCGACTTCTCTCCTTCAAACAATTGCCAACAACCCCATATCATCCCATGGCTAATGGCCTTGTAGAGAGGTTCAACGGCACCCTGAAACAAATGATAAGAAGAATGTGTCAGTAGTGTCCGAAGAAATGGGACCGGTACCTGGCGCCCTTACTCTTCGCTTATCGCGAAGTTTCCCAGTCGAGCTTAGGCTTCTCTTCGTTCGACTTGCTCTACGGCCGCTACGTCAGAGGTCCCCTGGCGATATTGAAAGAATTATGGGCCACTGATCATCTTGATGATGATGTAAAAACATCCTACAGGTACGTAGTCGAACTGCGGAATCGTCTTGAAGACACCTGCCGTTTAGCCAAGGAGGAGCTTCAGAAAGCGAAGATAGTACAAAAGAAGCATTATGACCAAAAGGCCAGACCATGTCAATTATCCCTTGGAGACGGAGACAAGGTTCTGCTTCTGCTTCCATCGGATACCAACAAATTGGTTCTGACGTGGAAGGGGACCCTTTAATGTCCTTGAGAAGGGAAATGATGTCGACTACTTAATTGACCTCCGTACCAGAAGCACGCTATTCCATATAAACCTACTGAAAAAGTATGAGGAACGGCCGCCTGCACCACTGCATGAAGCATCAGCTGTTTGCCAGGGGGATGACACTGAAAGTGACGAGCGACCATGCGTACCATTCCAACGAAAGGAATCGTCTGCTGACGTAAGCATATCGGAGTCACTTTCTCCTACCCAGCACATGCAAGTCACCAACTTATTGACCAGGTACGACAACGTATTTACTGATGTTCCTGGCAAAACACACCTTGTACATTGCAAGCTATGATTGACCACAAACCGCTTGTGTACGTCAAGTCGGTCAAGCATGTGAACGGCCGCGTCTTACGGTTGAGCCTCATTCTTACGGAGTACGACTTTTCGGTCGAGTATATCAAAGGCAGAGACAACATAGGCGCAGATTACATGAGCTGTTTGCGAACTCCGTGAGCAACGTCTGTATGAAGAATCGATGCTCATTGGTATCAATAGCTTATGATGTGAACCTTACAGCGCGATACAAGTATCATGACGCTTTAGTTCTGTGGCTTGTTTCTTTTTTTTTTTTCTTGTGTGTACTCTTGTGACCGAATGTGCCAAGTGTGCGGGGCTCGGAACTGCTATAGTGTGCAGTGGTGCTTACGTGTGTGTTTCCGACTGCGAACCAACGTGTCCCCATTGACCTCAAGTTCTTCTACCGGAAGAACTTTCTTAAGTGGGGGGTGATGTGATGTAGTAGCTTGAAAAAATGTGAGCATAGCAGATGACAGCGCCACATCACCTGGAAGATGAAAAGAATGAAGGGGCATTGCAGCGCGCCCATTGAAAAAGGAAGAGGAGACGCTCGCGGAGAACGAAGCTGTTCGGAGGCCGGCAAGACGACGCAAAGGAGCCTAGGGCGAACCCGCAACTACGCGTGAGGTTCGAAAGGCCGGGTTCCTGTCCTCGAGCCATTGACGTCCTCGGGGCACGGCGTGTCGGCGTGGCCAAGCACGAGTTCTGGGTGAGTGGTCCTGCGGACATTTCCGGTACGGCGAGCGCCTTCGAAAGACCGGAGCTGCTGATCACGTCTACCGAGCCGACATCGCTTACAGTTTTCGGCTACGCCTAGACCTGGGGCTGCCCTCTACAGCGGTATGCTGACCTGATCATCCAAGTGACGGCTGCGTCCGAGCACGCAACGGGTCTCACTTCAAGGCACCGGGCTACGGCACAGACTGTGAGACTGTTTACTCTTTTCTTTTGTGTGTGAACCGCGTGCAGTTACGACTTGTAGTACTGTATGTGTAATAGTTTTTTTTTTGTCCAATATAACTTCCCTTTGTTTTCCTCACTGTCTCCATCTTCCTCGCGTCACACGCCTTGCTACGTGACGAACCTAACCACGACACGCGGACATCGCTGGATGCCTTACACAGCCCGACTAAGGAATGCATTTGCATTTGCAACGGATGGGCAAGAAGCCTCCATGTGTTGATTAGCAGGACTGCAGCGGATGAATGTAAGGGATGCGCTTATTACGCGGGGAAAAAAAAAATTCAGATTTTGGCGACCGAAGTTAAGAGTGCATTTATTATGCGAGTGCAGTCATTACTTGAGTAAATACAGCATTTCTTCATATGTTTTATGTTGCAAATCTTTCTTTTTGTACCAAGCTGCACAACCCTCTTACCCACACGAGCGAGTTTGCTGGGTGCGGAACAGACCAGTTTTACATCAATCCTGGCCGCAACCTTTTTCAGCCTGTGTGATGTGCCATGTATGTACAGCATAACCACAAGGTTCTTCTGCTCTCGAAGACTTTCATCACTTCTGTGTTTTACTTGTAGGCGCTTTTACTTTTAAACACATATTCAGCAACAGAGGTTATGGACGACTTTGGGTATCCAGTCAACAAATGTCTATTTTGCTGCTCTACCATGCTATTTTGCATTTTATGATTGCAATTCTTAGTAACAGCATTTGACAGACAAAGATTGGCAATACCTCTTTTGACCAGCTTGGAGTGGGAGGAATGATAAGGCAAAGATTCTGTTTATTCCTTGTACTATACTTCCAGTACATGTGAACATGAGGATGAAATGTAAGTGTGAGGTCTGGAAACCTAATGAAATTTTCCGCAGGAACTTCATGCGTGAGTAGAAAATGTGAGCAGCATGCTTGAAACACTGAAAAGATGTTGCCAATGACATCTAAAATACAATCACTCTCCTTAAACTAAGAAAAACAATAATATCATCAGCATATCTAAAGATGTTGAGTACCTGGTGATCATCGAGGCTTTGGCACTGCAAACCACCGGAAGAAAGTATGACCCAATGCATATACCATTTTTCTGTAAAAACAATTTGCCATCGAAGGTGACAAAAGTTGCTGACAAATAAAAGTTCAGAAGTTCAATAAAGTCCTCAGTTGCAAGGCTGTACGCACCTTGAAAAGAGGCCTTGCCATAAAGTTTGAAACTTTTATCTGTCAGCAACTAGAAGAAATAATAAAGTTGACGTTGAAGTGTGCTGCTTGGAACCTTCCTGCCGAAAGTTTTTCTTGCATTGTAGCTTTGCTCACGCAGTCTATCATTCAGATACTGCTAAGTCCGCTGTGTAGAGTACTTCCCTCCTCGGAATGACCACTTATAGGCTACGCGGCACGTCACAATCAACAAATCTAACCTGTTGTTGTTCATCACACCTCGGGGAGCTTCGCAAGTTGATTTGCCCAAATAACAATGCTCACTTGGCCTATCTGTCGCACCCAGGCCTATCTCGGATCCAGGCGCCTAGGCTCTCACTGACATACTTTTGCACTGAAATGCAGTTTTGTTCTGAATTGCCTGGTGTGTGTCTATTGTGCAGAGTTACCATGGCTAGTGGCAGCTCTGAGACTTTAAAATATGAGAAAACAGTTGCTCTCGCCACTCCTGCTTATACAAGTCGTCTGGGCACCACTGTGTTGTCTTTGGATGTGAAAACAATCGACGCAAGAACTCGGCGTGGTGCGAGAAGATCATAACACAACGCGAGTAATGTGCTGGTGAAGTTTTTCAGGCAATGAAAAATGATGCGGAGCTCCGATACAGATGGATAATTGCAGTCAACGAGAAATATATGAGCCGAGTGAAAGTTTCCAAGTAATTACACTTACTGCATATATTGAAGTGTGATGCCAGGTATTGCTTTACAGCAGTAATTGCGTGCAGTATGCACGAAGTATGGGGCACCAAATCATTGCTGCACTTTTTCGGATGCTGCATGCCAATAATAAGAGATCTGACTCTTGCGTTCATGGACACACTGCGCGCGTGTAGTATAAATGTAACAGCGTACTATTGTTGTGTAAAAGGGTGATTCGCGAAAAATGTTGCTTTCGACTCAGTCAAACTGCGAGATCCCTTGGCTGTCGCTAGGTGAATCTGTGCTTTGATCTGGTGGGCACTTTAGAACCTTGTGTTTATTTCAAGTGGCAAGCTTTACTGGCAAATAAGCACATTTGGTGCGTAAGGTCAAGCCGGAACAGGATTCTAGCGCTATGGGGATGGCGCCTAAAAGCACTAGTTTTGCTTGGATGAACCGAGCGCTGGGCGAGTTGGTATTCCATTCTGGAAAGCATTTTGCACAAAAGAAAATGGATGAGAAGTAAGAGAGCTCAGACAGGTGCAAACATTCATGTAAAGGAAAGGCATAGACATGTGGCTACAGGTTGGCGGTTTTTGAATCTGTCTTGAGTTGCATTGCCAGCAATGTAGATATCATTCTTTACTAAATGCAACGTAAGTGAGGTTGAGGCTCAAAGATATAACCACGTGAGAGACCGTTCAGGCCTTTTTTGCACACTTAAGTCCAGTGACGTATGTGTGGCAAGGCTATCGGTGAACCTACATAAACTTGAGATGGATTATCTAACCCCCAACCTGTAATCATAATCACTTCTCTATGCCTAACCTTTACATGTGTGTTTTTCTTAAAGTAAACTTCAAGTGTAAGTCTCTGCCTGTCTGTGCTCTCTTCCTTCTTGTCCGTTTCTTTTTTTTTTTGTGCAAAATGCCAGCTACACTAGTTTTGCCTAGTGAAGGCACATAAAAATTTGACTGAGTTGAAAGCCATGCTTTCTGCTGTTCGCGTTTCTCTGCATTAGAATGGCACGTACGTGATGAAGTAGCTTTCGCAGTCTGCAATGTACGTGCTGTAGACATTCCAGTCTGTCGAGGAAAGTATTCTCGACGTTTCACAACAACACAAAACAAATTTCCATGCAGCTGGACTTGGTGTGGGAAGTTTTGTATTTGATTTGCAGAGCGTCTGCTAGCATGGCAGTTCAGGGTGTTGCTTCACCATTCTTGCAATAGGTGGTGCAACACTTTGCCTACATATGGCAGCACACACTGAGCTTGCTGTGTTTTGCAAAGTGATCACATGCGAGATGAGTTGTGTTTATTCTCGCATGTATAGGAGGGTGTGTAGGGCATGAAGTAAACTGTAGGAAATTCAATGCTCACCTTTCTCTTTACGTCTGTGTCGTGTTTTTTTTTGTACATGCACTGCACTAATACACAAGCTAACTTTTGCTTTTCGTTCATCTTCATTGGGAACAAGGTTCTCGTGCGCAAAGTGATACGATTCGTAGTTAGCATTCAAATTCATTTTCTAGCAAATATTGATATTGTAATTCATCCTTTTCACTTCTGAACCCTTTCGAACAGTACTGCAAAATGTGAAACATGTGCCTTATGTGTACTTATCTGCAGGACAGTCGTCATATGCATTGTCTACTGAAGCTACAGCCATTGTTATTCTGCATTGAACCTTAGATGACAAGAGTTCATGCAGTTTCTACCGTGCCCATTTCCATTTGTGTTTGTTTTGTTCCGTGACTTTGCTTCGCCTTTATTGTTTCTTGCTTACAGGCGTAATTGACAGTTACCTAACTACCTGTTGTGTCACATAAAGCCACTGAAATATATCTTGCGTGCAGGTGTCGCAGTGTACCACTCCTTGCTCAACATTCTGATAGTCTATGCTGTGCTCAAACTGGTCGGTGGCACACGCTCTTCAGTCGCCTTCAGCTTCATCTTCTGCATGGTGAGTGTGTATTGCCTCTCTGGTCTAATGGGGCATTTTATGCTGTATTGGTGCAAGCACCGCCACAAAGTGTGTGTTGGGCCACATATTGTCAGGATAATTTATTCCAGTAATGAATATGGCATGTGCCTTGAGGCAGATGCTGAATTTATGCTGAAACTATGAGTACATTCTAGAAGTAGCTACCACCTCTACTCACTTTTTATATAGTCTCCAGCACTTTGAAATAGTAACATTATTGACCTTTCTTGTTGGGCTAGTGGGCAACTCATCTTGTTGTAAGCAAATACTATGAAAACACTTACGCATTTATGCATGCTTCAAATCAAACACAGACCATACGAAGCACTCTGTGTGGCGTGTGTTTCTTGGTTGTAAGCTTGCGTGAATGTGTGAGTGTTTTCGGGGATTTCCCAGTTGAAGTAATCTTATTTACAGTTGAGCATTATGTGCCAATAGAGCCATCGTTTGACAGTGTTCCTCAAGGTGAATCCAATCTTTATAATATGTCCATGTTTGCTGCAGAAAGATCTCTTGTGAACAAGGAAGGAACTTCTAGTGCAAAAAAAAACAAATCCTAACATGATAGCATTAAAGAGCTCATTTCGCGAAAATTCCGGCATCTGTGTCAGCATCTGTGTTATTGGTTGTGACCGAAAAATTAAGTACGATGCAAATAAAATGTATAAATGGCGAAAAATCCTGGGGCAGAGTGGGGACCGAATTCTTGTTTTCGTTTCATTTGTTTATGACTCCAAAATGAAACCTCATCAATTTGAGCTCAGGAGGACTGTGAATATTTTTGAATTAGGTGGTTGTTTGAATTAACAAAACAAGCAAAAAGTAGCATGCAAGGAATTTTAAATTATTGAAAATAGTCAGAGATGGTTGATTGCTGTGTCTAGTTTTCGACTTCAAGGGTAATGTTTTCCAGCAATGCCTGGTTCTAATTTTGCAACAAACACGGGCAAATGGCGGGCATTTCTGCTGCCAACACAGGCACACACACAAAAAGCAAGAAAAAATGGTGTCATAATTCTTTTTTTTTTGTTGTTAAAATGTACACCTGTGACAAATCTGCTTCACTGCGACACAGTGGTGACACACAAGCAGCAAGTCACCTGCCCCTCACAGTATCAGCGCTTCATGATTCGACCAGTTGCCCATTTTTGTGATAAAATAAAGAATCTAACAGTTGGCAGTGTGGCAGAATTTGCAATGTGTCTTGCTGGAAAACGTTGATCACTGAAGTTTTCGAACCGAGTTTTTAAAGTAGGGATTGCAGACATCAACTGCGCCAGCAGTGCATGTGTACCAATTGCTGGAGCAACCACCACTCATAGGTTTGCATACTCATAATAGTTTCCTAAAACTGACTAGAGGGGACTCTGGTGCTATGATCATTAAGCCACCATGGTATGATGGGTAGTTCACAAATTGGCCAAGTCTTCATGCTTGCGGGCTTTGAAAGCGCTCACAGTTTTGTTTATTGTGGTGTTTTTATTGTGCTTTAATTGTAAACTTCATGACTCTATTTAAATCGGTGAGCGTAAAAGGCTAATGTGGAGAAGTAAAATTGCTGAACATTTACTGATTGTTGTCTTTTGACAAAACAGCTCCAAGCCACATGAAGCCAAACGAAGCTGAAGGTACGAAGATTAGACAAATTGGTGTACTACCGATCATTCCCATGCTTGCTGAAGTGCCGTGTGTTGCAGCTTCCATTGACTAGTTAGTGCCAGAGTTTCCTCTAATGTATCTATAGAAAAGCCCCGCCGCGGTGGTCTAGTGGCTAAGGTACTCGGCTGCTGACCCGCAGGGCGCGGGTTCGAATCCCGGCTGCGGCGGCTGCATTTCCGATGGAGGCGGAAATGTTGCAGGCCCGTGTGCTCAGATTTGGGTGCACGTTAAAGAACCCCAGGTGGTCGAAATTTCCGGAGCCCTCCACTACGGCGTCTCTCATAATCAAATGGTGGTTTTGGGACGTTAAACCCCACATATCAATCAAATCTATAGAAAAATTTATGTGCATACATAGCGAATGTCGACAGGCTGGCCTTTATCAGTTTCTTTATATCCCCAGAAAGAATGTGTAAATCGTAACACATTGACGTTCTAAGAAACATGCGACATGCTGCCCGCGTGTCTCTGCCATGTCAGTGTGTTGCAGTGGAGCACGTCTTATTTTCCGCAGGTGCGCGATTCAGCTGACCACGAGAACATTTTTTTGCTGGAAGCAGCTAGGCGGAGGTGCCTCAGTGTCACTCACATCTATTGCGACATTGCGATGCCATGTGTCTTTTAATGCCCATTGTTTCCGCGGATTTGGGGCGAAATCGGGAATCAGCACATCGTTTCAAGTTTTCTAATTAAATAAGGTGAAGCTGACTGCTGCTTGAAATTATTCACTGGAAAACTAACATGGCGAGATATGGGAGGGCACAAATACTTTGGATTGCGCAGAATCTCAAAATAACCGAGTTGGAATTAACAAAGTTTTACTGTTCATGCAACTGAGTTCTGCAGGCTCCCTTTTATATGCTGCTGGCTAGTTGTCTCATAAATGCATGCAAGAATTGTATGAATAGTGCTACTGGCATAGCACTATTACTGCCTTTCATTGTTTTCAGTACTCTATAGCAGTCATTGTTTCCAACATGCAACTTGATAAGCGTAGTGACGACTGCAGCAGATAAAAAGTTGTAATAATAAAATGCGTCCAATAAAATTTTCTGCATTACTGCTATGGACAGGTAAACTCTAAAGGACCAAGAAAGTAGCTGGTCACATGTTAGATGGGACACGGTCAGTTGGTTTTCTCGTCTGCAAAGCTGTGCATCTACTGTTATGCAGGGCTACCTGGTTCTGGGCTACTACTACACAGCCACCAAGGACTACGACATTACATGGACCATGCCTCACTGCATCCTCTCGCTACGGCTCATCGGTTAGTCTTAGACTCAACCGGATGGTGTTTAAAATGTATCGGAACACAGTTTGATTTATGCTTTTCCTGTAATGAGGCTGGCCCTGATTTCGCAGTTGTGGAGGTCACGATTAGGCATGTGCAGACATTTAAATGAATGTTACTGAATTCTAATTAGCCTTGGCTCAAATTCAAGTTACTCTAAATTCTGAAGTATTCGAAATTATTAATAGAACCGGACACACCAAAGGTGCCTTCACTGTGGAAGAGGTGTGCCATGCCATGAAAGCGTCTATCTAAAAAGTTCGTACTGCCGCGAAGCTTCATTCAAGGTTCATTGCATGCTTCATCACTTCATCGCATGCACTCCACATCTTACAGGAATGAACGCCTATGGTGTGGGGCTAGCCTGTACCACATTTCATGGGAGTGCACACTACACAACCTTAACCACCATAACATGAACATTGTGAGTGAGCACTGGGAGGCACTTCTTTCCAGCTTCGCCCTAGACAACCAGATCAGGCTCGTCCAAAGAGTCGAGCGGATAGCAAGAGCCAGTGGAATCTGGATCTCTTATCATATGTGTCAATTTAAGTAAACTTTGAGCGAGTACACTTTGCCGCGAGTGTCATTTGCACGAGGTCACACGACACAGAAAGTGTGGTGTCACTCGCTGCAAAGTACACTTGCTGGCAAGTGTGTTTCCCAATTTCTCTTCACAGCGACGAGGTGTGTAGCCTTGGTACCAGTGGCTTGCACAGAAATACGCTGTTGCCTAAAGTGGCACCCATACTATTTTTAAGCCATTGTTTTCGTTATAAGGAATACTGCTATGTATTGTTGGGCCACATCCCCCTCCCCCCTAGGGTCAAACAGCTGCAAACGGACAGTTTGCAGCTGCCTTGCGATTAGCATGTCCTGCTCCTCTTCTGGGCTGCGCACGTGCTGGTCCATTGTCAGAGGACTCGCCCCTGTTGACTTGGTCGTGCTGGCTAGCTCTGTCTGCTACAACCTGCTATATTTCCTACTATAAACTTTGCTACTTATTTTGTTTTACAAAATGCTTGTGTCTTTCCCTGCTTCAGAACGAAAAGTTCGACTTCGACTGCTTCGACCAACAATGGTTATGTTGCCATTATTAAAGCAAGTCATGATACAATGAAAAACCTCGGAACTCTCAACCTCGGGCAGTTTGCGGCTATGTCTGCTTGGGGGATGCGGCAGCACATGCTGTGTAGTGGCTGCATCCGTCGTGTTGTTTACTTCCAGGCACACATGTGTAATTGAGTCGTTCCCTAGTCATTTGCGATGGCCTGAGCTACTGGCACTTCTTCCGCGAAAACATTGGGGGCCGGCAAGGAGACACAGGCGCAGAAATAACATAGAGTATATACCACTGATAATATAGGTTGTGGGAGTCGTGAATATCTGCACTTTATAAGCAATACCTCACTATAACAAAAGCAACCTTTTTCAAGGGCTGTCATTGCACAAAATGTGTTGAGCAAGCCGTCTCGTGTGTCCGAGAATCGAAGCATGCAATAAGTGGTACTTACAACCTTCTAAATTTCGGAATGTTAAAGGAAACTTTAATATCCGAAGAAACGCATTGCCAGCGAAATGAACACGAAGAGAGAGGGGTGGGAGGGGGTTTAACAGGAGAAAGTACTGTATAAACCGGAATACCATCATCATCATCATCAGCCTGACTACGTCCACTGCAGGACAAAGGCCTCTCCCATGTTCCGCCAGTTAACCCGGTCCTGTGCTTGCTGCAGCCAATTTATACCCGCAAACTTCTTAATCTCATCAATTCAGTTTATTCCGACATCACAGGAGACATTACAAAAGTCACAACAGTGATGCTGTGGGGCGAAAGCAAAAAAGCCATTAAGGCTTGACGAAGGCTTTCGCACCATTTGACAACATAGCAACAGCAACAGCAGCATGAGATCATCAGTTATTATACAATATCAAAACATGTACTTCAAGGTCATGCCGATTTGCATTTTATTAACACGTTGAAAAACATTTACAGAACGGAGCAGTATAAATGGTTTATTGTAAGAAACTGTTTAAGGTTAGTGGCAGTAAGTAGCTCATCATCTGGCGACCATAGTTAGTACGTGTGTAAGGAATTTTCCAGTCATCGGTAGCTCGTGTGCTATAGGGGCAGGTATAGGGTGTCAAACGCGCTAAATCAGTAAGAAAAGAGTCGTGATTCTTTAAGGAAGTACGATATCGCTTCATTAAAATTGTATTGTATATCTCAGGCATTGGTTGTAAATTAAGGGCTTCGAAAATGGGTTTGGAATGTTCATCGCGAGGAACACCTGTAATTATGCGCACAGCCTTTTTCTGTAATCTATATATTCGGCCTAAGTTCTTTTCCGATGTGGTGCCCCATACTAGATAGCAATAGCTTAATGTAGATAAAAATAGCGATTTATATAGTAAGAGTTTAATTTTTTGTGGCAAGAGAAAACGTAAGCGCGATAAGATACCTACAGTACGAGAAAGTTTAGCATGGACAAACTCAGCCTGATCCTTCCATAGCATGTTTTCGTGGAAAAAAACTCCCAGAGTTTTCACTATCGGTTCAATCCTTATAGATTCTGAGCCAATCACTAATGATAAATCGCAGTTTACGGGCTTATTTATTGGACGAAAGAGCACAGATTTTGTTTTTGAGGTGTTTATAATTAGCGAATTTCTTATGCTCCAAATGTGCAGCAGTTTCAAGACACTATTTGCTTTGTCAACTAGTTTATGCAAATCGCAGTCTTTAAAAAATAAGCTGGTATCATCTGCATAAATAATAAATGTTGTATTGTTATCGATGTTTGTCAAGTCGTTCACATACAGATTAAAAAGCAGGGGACCCAGAATACTTCCTTGGGGCACGCCATGTGACAGTTTTTTAAAACTAGATGCGTAGCCATTTATATCTACTTTTTGCTGTCGGTATTTCAAATAGGTTTTTATGACACTTATAAAGTTCCCCCGAAAACCGTAGTGTTCTAGTTTTTTAATTAATGTAATGTGGTTGATTCTGTCAAATGCTTTTGAGAAATCTACAAAAATTCCAAGTGTATATATTTCCTTTTCAAATGCATCGAGTATGATTTCTTTTTGCATTAGTAGGGCAGTTTCTGTTGAGCGCTGCTTTGTGAAACCAAATTGAAAAGGCGTCATAATGTGGTGCTTGGTTAAGAATGACACTATTCGTTTATGTAACAACTTTTCAATTACTTTAGAAAATACAGGTAAAATAGAAATTGGTCTGTAATTGGTCATGCTATTTTTGTCACCACCTTTGAAAATAATAGAAACTTTGGCTATCTGAAGACGACTAGGAAACGTGCCCAATGAGAAGATTAAGTTAATGATGTATTCTAAAATAGGAGATATGACATGAATAACATGCTTAACTGGACGGATTTCCAGGCCGTCTACGTCACAACACCTGCTATTCTTTAGTGACATGAAATCTGCCGTAACCTCCTGTGTAGTCACTGGAAATAGAAATGCACTTTCGCCTACTTGCGAACCCATGAATCGCGCAAAATTATTGTCGTGCGAGCTCTCTCCAATAGAGGTAAAGAATTTATTGAAAGCTTCAGCAAGGTCATCACCAGTTAGAACGCGGTTGTCTACAATGAGTTTAGTCGGGTATGTGCTATCATCCGAGTGTGGGTGGAGCAACATGTTTAACTTTTTCCAGATGGCTTCGGACGTTTTGGTTTTTTCAGGGCTGAAAAGGTTGCTAAAATATTCAAGTTTGCTTTTCCTTAATAAGGAGTTTGTAGTATTTCTATGTTTTCTAAATGTCTTCAAGTCTTCTTTGTCTCTAGATATTAGAAATTTCTGGTAAAGTGCATTTTTTACTTTTATAGCTTGAAGGCATTCCGAAGTAATCCAAGGCTTTCTTGCCTTGCGTGGTCTGCGTTTTGCTTTGAGCGGAAAGCACTTGTTGTAGGCTTCACTAAAACGTTCGATGAAAACATTATACGCTGTGTCTGCATCAGTTTCACGGAAAACAGCGTCCCATTTTATCTTGGATATATATGCAGCGAACATATCAATTGTGCTAGGACATATGTACCGGAATGGGGTAGGCGGTGGCTTTGCATCCCTAAGTTGAAGCTTCTTTTGACTTAAAATTGAGTAAACAGGCAAATGGTCGCTAATATGTGTCTTAAGGACACCCGAGCAAAGAGGTGCACTTGTGCTATTTGTTATAATGACGTCGATAAGTGTGCAGGATTGGGCATGAAATCGAGTGGGGTGTTTTATAACATTTTTAAATGCGTTTGATTCCATGATATTGCAAAGTTCAAGACGTTGGGGGCTGGAAGTTAGCATATCAATGTTTAGGTCACCCCCGATAGTAAGATTGTAACCATTTTCATTGACCCACGACAGGAAAGTGTCTAAAAACGTAAAAAGTTGCACATGTTACATTTGGGGGGGGCGGTATACCACAGAAAAAATACCCGAAGAACATTTTACAGTCATAATCTCGTAATCGTCAGTAACCACAGAAAAAGCCTCGAGTATTTCACACTCAAACACATCTTTGACCAGGAGCATAACACCACCACCTAATTTATCACTGCGGTTCAAGAAATACGTGGCATAGCTAGGTATACGAAGAACGTCGGATTCATGGCGATACCAGGTTTCAGTAACCATGATGACGTCAAAGGAGAACTCAAACGATTCAAGCAGTATTGCTATCTCATCTGCCTTGTTTCTGGCTGATTGCGCATTTATATGAAGGTAGGAAATGTGGTGTTTTCTACCAGATACCAATAGGCTCAACTGGTGTGGCGTTAAGCAGTCTGCAGCCATTTTCTTTTTGCCCTGTTTTTCTTCTAGCTTTTTTTTTTGCTAAAGGATGAAGCTCAACAAATTTAAACAATCTTTTCGAGATCGCTCTCAGTAGTTATCTGAAGCACCCTCGACTTCTCATCCTTTCGCGCAAAGATTTTGCCGCCTTTCGTCCAGGCAAATCG